GTTCTCCTCCAGCGTGGCAGGCAACCAGCGACGTTTGCGTTTGAGCCGTTTACGAACTCTGCAATATGGGGGGGGGGGGGGCGGGGGTTGACAGCTTAATGGTTTAAATAGTATTCATTTTAGTTCGTCATGTTTGTAGCTATGGTATACGATGCCTCGAAACTCTATTCTAAGAATATTGGGACCCCTATTCAATGATGCTGTAGGCATGAGGATGTTGAGGCTTCGTCTGCATGTTGCCTTCGAGCTACATGGGTTTAGGGGTTTTAAGGTTTAGGGGTTTAGGGTTTAGGGGTTACTGGACGACTGCAATGATTGCTGACAGTACTGATTACTGTCACTTCCACTTGGCAGTTCGCTTGCTTGGGCGATGTTCGGTTCCTGTGCGCTGCAAGAGTCTGAACTCACATGAATGTGCAGTGCTGGCGTTCGCTGCAGGGCGTTTCCGCTTGACCAGAGCATTACGAAATATCTGCAAGCCTTAACCAACACAATATCTAAACCTTAAGCCCTAAATCCTAAACCCCTCAGAATCCTTAAAGGAACCCTACTTTAAATCCTAAACCCCTATAGAATCCTTAAAGGAGCCCTACTTATAACCCGACGTGCCACTACCCATAAGCCTCCAAAGCAGGTGTGGCAGACCACCCCAGGAGCCGAAGAGCCTGAGGAGATTGGGAAGAACTGGGTTTAGGGTTTCGGGTTCAGGGTTTAGGGTTTCGGGTTTAGGGTTTAGGGTTTAGGTTTTAGGGTTTAGGGTTTAGGGTATATGGGCGTCGGAATGTTGAATCAGAAATAAAATTACTTTAGCATATTATAACAACAGCTATCAAGGATGTTTTGTTCCGGCGTCGGTGGTTCAAGGTTATGATATCTTTAAGCCCTAACCCCTACACCCCTAAACCCTAAGCCCTAAAACCAAGATTACGAGATCGGCAGAAGCTGAAGCCAAAACCTTCTACCTGATTCTTCTCTCCTTTAGGTGTCCCTTCTCTAAGGGTCCACACGCCCAAAGAGTAGATGCTCTGGCCTTAAAGTAGTTCCTAAAAAGGTACTGTGGGGCCAATGTATATACTATGTCAATACATGGACCCTTAGGGCTTTGGATCCAATGGTGTTCACAGCCCGCCCAAGTCGATCAGTACCGTTGGAGTCTACCGTCGCATTTGATTAATGGTTCTGTCTGGTCTCTCCATCGGACAGGCCCTAGACCCTAAAACTTGAACCCTCAACCGTAGCCCTAAAACTTAAACCCTAAACCCTAAACCCTAAAACTTAAACCCCAAGTGGGGCCCTACTCCTCCGAGCCGCAAGTGTTTCGAGGTCTCGATAGACCTGGGCTTGCTTTTTCTTCCCAGAATTTCACGGTAGGTGTTGGGCTGCTTTAGGAATTTGGGGTTTAGGATTCGGGAGTTTAGGGTTCAGGGTAAGGACATCGGAACTCAAGGACGCCCAGAATGTGGCCATCACAAAGGCCAAGCTTCTGCAGTGGTGAGGCACTGAGCTCGATCAGAGGTTGCTGCACGGTTTCAGTTACCCTAAACCCTCAACCCTAAAACTTAAACCCTAAACCCTAAACCGTCAAACTCAAACCCTGAACCCTAAACCCTAACACTTAAACCCCACGTTTTCAGTTGAGCCGGTATCCTTTCTGGTTCGGTTCGATTCATAAAACCAGCCCCCTCTTCCGGCAGCTGCATCCATTCAACATCCAGCCCCCCAGTCAATGGCCCTCTGGGCCTTTAGCCCCTCCGTCTTTTAGGGCTTATGGGGCGTATAGGGTTTTAGGGTTTTAGGGTTTATAGGGTTTTAGGGCTTATAGGGCTGAAAGGGTTTATAGGGTTTTAGGGTTTATAGGGTTTTAGGGTTTATAGGGTTTTTAGGGTTTTAGGGTTTATAGGGTTTTAGGGTTTAGGGTTTATAGGGTTTATAGATTTTTAGGGCTTCTAGGGTTTGTAGGGTTTATAGGGCTTACAGGGCGTATAGGGTTCATAGGGTTTGAGGGCTTATAGGGTTTATAGGGTTTTAGGGTTTATAGGGCTTATAGGGTTCATCGGGTTTGAGGGTTTATAAGGTTTTAGGGTTTTAGGGTTTAGGGTTTATAAGCCTCTTTAGCCAAACCCACTCCATCCACCCCATTGCTAACTATCCTCCTAGGCATTAACACGAGTCTTTGCAGGGTGTTCTCGCGTACATGGTTATATGTGTGGAATAATGTCTTGCATACAAAGCTTACAGCGGCCCCAATCTTCGAATTTTGGTCCATCGGCTAATGGAAATATCCTGCATTAGCCATAATCACAATACCACCCTCCATGTGGGTTTTGAGTCATCACGCTCGCCGGTGACGCGTATCGGTATCGTGTTTTCTTGCGCAAGTACACTGACCCATGTCAGCATTTCTTGCAGCTACACTAGAGCTCCAAAGTGCATAAACCAAATGAAGCATCTTTGAAGCCGAAAACCCTGGACACGATTCAAGATCCCGTCAGTACATCTGATCTACCTATAGTCCTTACAGTTTAGACGTCCCCAAGAGAAACCTGGGCACTGAGACTATGTCCGGTAACCCCAGACCGAGAAATACCACAACTGCCTCTGCCTGCCCACAGTGAGCTTCCACGTACCCCACAACCTCCAACCTTAGCCCAACACCTAAAACGTCGTGAGGTGCACCCAATTCATTCGTGCCGAAGAGATGGGGGCTCAGCAGCTACAGATTTAGGGCTTGGTGTTTAATGTGCGGGGTTTAGGAGTCTAGATTCAGTGTTCCAGGTTGAGGGGTTTGTGGTTTGTACATACCATCCCCGCTAGGATCTTCGCTGAAAAATTGCCGGGAATGACGTCCCCTGATGTGAAGATTCTCTACTTCTGGTTCGGACTTCGGGTGTAGTGCGGGGGTCTGGATAGGCAGTAATGCCTTTCCCTTGTCCCGAAATAACATTATAATCTATAGAGTATTAATACCCGAAACCTTACTAGTTGGCCCTAAACTAAAGCCCCAAACCGTACTCACCCAAAACCCAAAGACCGTCTTCCAGCACATATTAATTACCGTATATCACTGTTGGGATTTTTTCTGGTGTAGGGTTCAAGGCTTTGGGTTTGGGGTCCCATTTGGGGTTACAGTTTTTGGAACAGTTGGAGGGTCAAGGCACATTTCTTGTATTAGAACGAGGATGTATTTGTCAGGAACACGATGCCCCACCCCACCCCTTAACAAAAGAACACCACCATTTCGAAGAGTCTACAGAGGCACCTCAGATTCGCAATCCAAACCCTATAGGCCCTAAATCCCAAACTCTTTAAATCTTGAGTCTAGAGCCCTGAACCCCCAGACCCCGGGTTATATTATACCGCACGGACTGGAATCATAATGATGGTATTCCCCTATCTTCCCCTCGTGGATAAGTGACATTATAATCCCAAGCTTTCTGTTTTATTCTTACGCCTTTATATCATGAGCGTAAGGTTTGTGGAGGCTTGTAGGGACGAAAGATTTCCCTGAAGCAACTTTCAAGAGGAGCTCTAACCAATCTGGAAGCGGGTTATCTGATTATATATATATATATATATATATACATATGGGGTAGCTAGACTTACAACCCATGTGAGGGGACCTGTGAACCCTCCTACTAGATGAGTGAGTACACTTAACACTTTTTGGATAACATTCTCCCCCTATAGAACTAGAAACTTAGGGGCTGAGTAGGTAACCTTTAACCTTTTGGGGCTAATATAATCGTAGTATAACTCAAAAGGTTAACCTTTTTTGGGGTGGGGTACTCAGCCCCTAAGGAAATGTACAAATTTCTTGGCTTATGAACTCAGCAACTAAAGCCCCCGACTCCGATAGAGCACCCCTTGGCTCTATAGGGTTCAGGGTTTAGGGTTTAGGGT